AAACTACAGGCAAATTATCTTTTTTTTTTTTCTTTTTTTAGAAATAGTTTCACTCTGTTGTCCAGGCTGGAGTGCAATGGCATAACATAGCCCACTGCAGCCTTGAACTCCTGAGCTCCAGCCATCCTCCTGCCTCAGACTTCTGAGTAGCTAGAACTACAGGCACATGCCACCACTCTTGGCTAATTTTTTTTTATTATTATTTTTTGGTAAAGACAAGATTTTGCTATGTTGCCAAGGCTGGTCTTAAAATCCTGGCCTCAAGTGATCCTCCCACCTCAGCCTCCCAAACTGCTGGGATTACAGGCATGAGTCACTGCACCTGACCTGGGCCAGCGATTTTATAGAATGTCCCTCAATTTGGGTTTGTCTGATGGTATCTCATGATTAGATCAAAGTTATGCATTTGTTGGCAGGAAGAATCCGTAAGTGATGCTGTGCCTTCTCCAAGTATCCCATCAGAAGGCACATGATGTTTGTCTCATTGGGGATGTTAACTTTGATCACTTGGTTAAGGTGGTGTCCACAAGCCTTCTCCACTATGATACTGAATTTTTAAACCAATAGAAATACATAGATTTAACTGTCTGTAGCACTGTCATTAGGCACATTTTGTTGAGTGCTTTCCATATCGCTCACGCAGATCTAGACTAATTTCATGCCTGCCATCTACCTTGACTTAAAATCCAGTTAGTGATGAGGCATATATGATGATTAAATCATAGCATAGGTCAAAAAAGACAAGAAGATGGTCATAAGGAGTGCTTATGATCTGAGTATTAAAGGCAGTAAGAGCTGTGAGTTCATAAATAAGATTCCTGGTGGTTGGCATGCACAAAGAAAATTCTCTGGAAGAAAGTGGGTAGCACAGGGCATAGCACATAGCAGGGAGTCAGTAAATATTTGTTGGAAGAATAAGGGTATGGAAAACCGAGCTGACTGTGAAGGAATCTTTTCATCTGTATTTTCACTGTTATCTTCGATGTAGCAGTGACTTACCAACTCGTGCTGACGGCAACATTTTTCTAGATGTGTTGATGATTTTAAGCTAACAGTGTATTATGAGCACAGCAACACTTCAAATGGACTTTATAAATGTGGCTTTCTATTAAGAGATCAAACTTAACTTTGTTGTGTGCTTTTCCTTCTCTTGCTACCAGTACGAACCCCAGAAGGCAATATCAGGCTGTATTGTAAAGGTGCTGACACTGTAATTTATGAACGGTTACATCGAATGAATCCTACAAAGCAAGAAACACAGGATGCCTTGGATGTAAGTCTCACTTTTACTCTCCTGCTGGAGATTTTAATCTCACTTGCTGGTACCATCTCTTAAGCTCAAGCGGAAGCTGTATATTAACAGTTGCTTTGGCGTAGTTGGGGTGGAAAAAGCACCAAAGCAGGAATCTGGCCACCTGCGTTCCAGTTCTGCCCCTGCCACTGACTTCTAGGAAGTGCCTGTGGTGCTCTTTCCAGCATCCAGGTCTGCAGAGTACGTGGGACTGAGGCACCGGAGCAGCTTCTCTCTCTTCCAGTGATCTTGAGCAAGCTTCTTAATGATACTAAGCTGTAGTCTTGGTATCCGTATGTCTGGCCCCCAAGAACTCCACTAACTTGCAAGTGTAGAGTGAAGGAAAGAAAGCATCCGTGTATGACGGGATGACAAAGCAACGCACTGGATCATTGAGTTTTGATACCTTTGTTAGTAGAACAGTCTCAATGACTTCAAAGTCCTTATCTTAGGAAGCTGTATACCCAGTCCAGTGATGTTGTACCTACTCAGAATGCTTCTGGAACTTGCATTTTTGGACTTGCTTAGCAATCTGCATGTCATTTTGGGTTCTGTATAACAATGGCAGTGAGGTATGGAGGAGATGAGGCAGACCTGGTGTCCCAATACTGCCTCTTTACTAGTTTTGTGTCCTTGGGGAAAATGATTGATATATGAATCATTAATTCTCTGTGTGAAAGAGAGAGGGAATAGTTCCTCCCAGGGAGGGTCATTGCAAGAAAAAGCATCTTCCGCAGTTCCTAGCACTTAGTAGATACTTAATAAAGGGTGGTTTTTCCCCTTTGCTTTAAGGATCGATTGAGTTTTAGAGCCAGCCAAATGTCCTTTGAAGAGAAGCTTGATGAATATATATGTTGTTTACTAAATGGGGTCACGTTTTAAGATTATATGCTGACACTGATGCAGTTAAAATACATGAGTCCTCATGAAGATGTGAACAGTGACAATCTAACCAAATAAATGCAGAACTTTCCAAAGAATCTTTGAAAGCACACACTCATTTGGTTGAACTATTTGTACTGTCTTGGCTAGACAAGATGTGACTATAAAGTAATGAGAGATTTTCACTGGTTCATGTTGAAGCTATTTAAAATGGTTTAAATCTATTCATTATTGGAAAATGTCCAGATACCCTTTTTCATTAAAATATTTGACCTCAGCTTCAACAATGGCTCATGTATTTTTTAATTGGTTTGAGGGAACAATGCTTGGTTGAGAGTTCATAGCTGATTGGACTTGTAGCACAGTCTGTTGGAACAAATTATAAAGTTGTCAGGTCTGTGTTTATATCGTTATACCCCAAGGTAGCTCCCTTCATTTGTTGTTTTCTTAGTCATTAAGAGAAAATGATTTTCTTGACTCTAGTGACTTGATGTAGAAGAAATGTAGATTTTTCCCTTTAACTAATTTGGGAACTAGAAGTACAATCCTAGGACCCTGTAGAAGCTTAGAAAAACAAAGTCTATTATACAGTAGACTTTAATCCCCTTTGTAGAATATATTTTTATAGAATCCATCATCTTTCCCTTTTTAAATACTCTTAGTATGTTACTTCAAGGGAAGATTTCAAACTTAACGTTGAATTACATAAAATTAACTATTCTTTGCATTGGTGGATTGTTTTCTCAATAAAACAGATCTTTGCAAGTGAAACTCTTAGAACCCTGTGCCTTTGCTACAAGGAAATTGAAGAAAAAGAATTTGCAGAATGGAATAAAAAGTTTATGGCTGCCAGTGTGGCCTCGACCAACCGGGACGAAGCTCTGGATAAAGTGTATGAGGAGATTGAAAAAGACTTAATTGTGAGTTTTAGCCTTAATAATTTTTCCTGCTATTCTATTTTTTGTTGTTTTTATTTTCTTCCAGGCCTGTGAGAAGGAATTTCTCCTTATTCTAAACAGACTTGAAAACTTTATTAAGTTTTATTACATTTTTGATCTCATGCTTGAAAGATAATTCTAACTTCAGCGTTTGACATAGGTACAATGGAAGTAGGTCATTTAAATTTCTTTTGTTCGGCAAAATAGCAGAAAAGAAGTTGCCATTATGAGAAACCAAAAGAGAAAAAACATTAGGAGAGGTTCTAATGTAATTCTGTCATTTTTATATCACTTATTAAAATTCATTATGATTTTTACACTGTGACAAACCCACATCTACTTTTATCATTGTGGGAATTACTGAAACAATTCATATTTTGCAAAATCTTGAAACATGAAAAATATACCCTTTCTAAATTTTCAAAATTTAATACCTAGTGCTCACAGGGTTTAGATCAATGGGAAATGTTGAACAAATAGCTAGTATTGGAACTGGCTTATGTCTGTGTAAAGCCACAAATACACAAGGAAAGTATATTTTTAATGTCCTTGATTTTGTACTTGTATGTTTGTCTTGGTAAATTGAATAGTTCATCCTTTAAGAAAAAAGTGTCTAGCTGGTGCTGGTTTGTGGTGAATGCGAAACATGGCCACCTTCCCTGTCAACACCAGTGTTGGCCCCAGTAGAGCACCAACCCTGGGGTGTATAATTAGCCCTTCTTTTTCCAGGTTGGCAAACTGTAAGCATAGAAAACTTTTGGTTTATTTGCTAATTCCTTTTTTTAAAAATGTACATTCCAGCTATTAGGAGCTACAGCTATTGAAGACAAGCTACAAGATGGCGTCCCAGAAACCATTTCAAAACTTGCAAAAGCTGACATTAAGATCTGGGTGCTTACTGGAGACAAAAAGGGTAATTCATTGTGTAGGGGAGCATATCTGTTAATTCACAAGTATTTATAACTGCTGTTTACCTTGCCCAAGATGACCTTCTCTAACTTGCCATCCTCTACAAACACTATTTCTTTGGAAGGAAGATGTTTTCTCTCCCTCAGTAGCAGTTTCTTCCTTATAATTTAGCTCCTGGCCATGTCTTGCTGATTGTGATTGGTCTTCTCTTCCAGCCAGATGTGGGCTTCTGTCCTGAAAGGGCCACCTCCTCTTCCCTCTGTCCTCCCAGTGCTTTGCCATTTGTTGGGCATAGAGTAGAACAATACAAAGTGCTGAAAAGCAACTTTTGTTTTCTTGTCCATTTGATCGCCTGAAAAATATAGTTAAAATTTAATACCCAAGAAAAGAAATTTAATTGCTAAATTTAGAGGTTAACAAGTAGTTATTTGGCATTGATACTCTACTCTGCAGACCTTCCCCAAGAAATAAGATAATGTCTATTGCTCTGAAATCATCAATGGGTTATACACTCTGTGAAGTTAAGGCAAGCACGGCCTTGACCTTATCAAATGGGTGGTAATAAAAAAAAAAAGGGAAAAATATCTTCATGTGAGGGTTGATAGAAATGGTTATTTTTCCCTCCCCATAACAGAGTGATGAAGCTGCATGAACTGAGCGTATTTAGTAATTTACTGAATATAGACTTAGTAAATAACCAGTTTATATACTTGATAATATAGCACATTTTATTATTGAAAACATCTCAAACCAGATTTTGACTTGTATGTTTCTTATTATAAAGAAAAGGATTTTGGTTTTTTGTATGTGATTTCTGTACATTGCTATAGAAAAACAGCATATTTGATTGAATTTGGTTATGTTCATGAATTGGGGAAAAAAATCATCAGTACTAGATAAAGTCAATTATTCAATTCAACAGTAGGAACAAACAACATTTGACTCAATTTTATTCTGTTGTAGAAACTGCCGAAAATATAGGATTTGCTTGTGAACTTCTGACTGAAGACACCACTGTCTGCTACGGGGAAGATATAAAGTAAGTGAAGAGCCTGCAGTGTGTGATGACGTCACAGCTCATTTTCACAAAGGCCAGACTAGCGGTACAAGGCAGCAGATATAGAGAAATAGGAGCTACGATATGTCACCTGGGACAGTTTCCTCTTGTTTAAACGAAGCAAGAGAACAGCAGGCAGTTCCAAGTTATCATGTTTTGGCCTTATTTTGGACAGATTTTAGTTTTAAGGAAACTCGAGGCCTTTCAGGGGCCATTTTTCTCCACTCCTCAGAAGTCCAACATCCTTGCTTACTGAAAAAGAAAGCGAGCATGTGATATCATTAACAAATTAATATGAATTATATTCACGGTTTGCTTTTTCTAGAAATTTTAACTTTTGAAATAAATAGAAGGGGAAGAAAAAACCAGCCTTGGCCCAGAAGGAAATGTTTGTGGGGTTACATGGTGTAGGTCATCTGTGGTCTGGTCTAGATGGGGCAGGCCTGAGTTTCCAACCTTAGCTTGTGCTGAAACCTTTGCAGTCAGGGTTAGCTTGGAATCAGGGTTGCAGCAGACCTAGAAATGCATAATGAGTAAGCCCTGTCTTGTTATGAAGCCATAAACGTGCTGCATGCAGTTTCCATGATGTGCTTAACTGATGGCTTGACTTACTCCACTTATTCCTCAAGCTTTTTCTTTACAACGCTTCTCTCTGGCTGTCACAAGGTCACATTAAGCTGTTAACATACACACTTGTGGGGGCTGCTGAGATGATGAGGGAGTTGATTGTTATTAGTCGTCTTTATAATGATGACGGAAGAGCTTTTGCGAGTCATTCCGGTATATCGGCACTCTGCTAACTCAGACACAATCAGTAGCCTTAGAATCTAAACCAGTTCTGTTTGTATAGAGGCACATACATCAGACCCCTTTGTACTTTTAGGTTTTTAAAAAGTAGCAATAGACAAATAAATGCCTAATATGTTTATTTCAGTAGTTTTCGGTTTCCAGTAGTTTGGTTAATTACCATATGGATTTGTTTACTTCTTGTAGATGGGGTTTTAATAAATTTCTGGTCTCTGTCGAAAGTTGTGCCCTAAGCTAAATTAAACAATTTATGCAAGTAGTAAATTTTATGATCGTGCTCTTAGCCAAGTTTACCTTTATAGAGAGAAGAATCATCTTTCTAGATGGTTCCTGAAATGATTCCTATAAATTGGTTTACATAGGTAACTATTTTTGATCTCCTTCAGTCTTTTAACGATTTGTCTTACAACTTGAAAATGAGAATTAAATTAATGTGGAGAAAGGATACTAGATACTTAATCCTCTAGTACAGTATTCTCAAGGTGGGGCGATTTTGCCTTCCAGGGAGCATATCACAATGTCTGGAGACATGTTTGGTGGTTATATGTGGGGAGGAGGGACGCTACTAACTTCTAGTTGGTGGGGGCCGGGAATGCTGCTAAACATCCTACAATGCACTGGATGGCCACATACACCGAAGAATGATCTGGCCCGAGACATCAATAGTGCCAAGGTTGAGAAGCCTTCTTTTGAAGGTGAAGAATAATGGCTGTGTGTGTGTAATAGGAAGAGTCCTGGGCAGGGAGTTAGGGAAACTGAGTCCTCATTCCAGTTTTCCTATCAACTCGCTGCAGGTAAATCACATCACCTCTTTCTGGCTTGATTTCCTTCTTTGTAACACGAAGAGATTAGACAAGATATTTAAGGTCCTCAGCCTGAGCAAGAGCGAGACCCTGTTTCTACAAAAAAAATAGAAAAATTAGCTGGGCATGGTGGCACACACCTGTAGTCCCAGCCGCTCCAGAGGCTGAGGCCGAAGGATGGCTTGAGCCCAGGAGTTTGAGGTTGCTGTGATCTATGATGATGCCACTGCACTCTAGCCAGGATGACAGAGCAAGATTCTGTCTCCAAAAAGAAAAACAAAATAAAAGATATTTAAGGTCCCTTTCATGGAAAAATTTCATGATTCATTTTTCTATCACATGAAAGTGTTATTAATATATGTGGTCTTCTCAATAATTTGATATGAAGCACTGAGTATTTCTCAAAAGCAGCTATAATTTTGTTTATGTAGAAACAAGTTTCTTTCTGCCAAACAGTAGCCAGTAAAATAGGGTTCACCCTAGTGTATTATAATTCAGTTCAAGGTTGTCTGCCTTCTGTTGTTTGTGTATACATTTTCAACTGTATTTTCCTTTGGCTGTCTTTGAAAAATGAAGTACCAAGAGCATGGTGCCCCCATGGTGGAAGAATCCAGACTTAGTAAAATTATATGTCAGCTGATTAAAAAACAGGCAAAGTACTCTGAATAGACATTTCTCCAATGAGGATATACACATTACTAATAAGCACATGAAATGATGTTCGACATCACTGATTGTTAGGGAAATAGAAATCAAAATAACAATGAGGTATTACCTCATACCCATTAGGAAGACTACTATCAAAAATAAAATAACCAGTGTTGTTGAAGCTATGGAGAAATTGGAACTTTTGTGCACTATTGGTGGGAATGTAAAATAGTATAGCCACTATGGAAAACAGTATGATGGTTCCTCAAAAAAACTAAAAATAGGATTACCATATGATCCAACAATCCCACTTTTGGGTACATACTCAAAACAATTGAAAGCAGCATCTGGAGATGTCTGCATACCCATGTTCATAGCAGTGCTATTCACAACAGCCAAGAGGTGGAAACAAACCAAGTGTCCACCAATGGATAAATGACACAAAATGTGGTCTGTCTATACAGTGGAATATTATTCAACCCTAAAAAGGAAGAAAATTATGACATATGCTAGCTTTAACATAGATGAACCTTGAGGACATTATTAAGTGAAATAAGCCAGTCACAAAAAGACAAATACTGTATGATTCCACATAGGTTGAGGTATCTAGAGTGGTCAAATTCATAGACACAGAAAGTAGAATGGAGGTTACCAGGGATGGGGCACGGGTCGGGGGGTGGGGAGGGGAAGAGACCAGGTGGAGTTGTTTAATGGGTATAGAGTTTCAGTTTTACAAGTTGAAAAAGTTCTGGAGATTGGTTACACAACATTGTGAATATACTTAACACTATTAAACTATGCACTTAAAAATGGTTAGGATGATAAATTTTATGTTACAAGGCCCTGTGTGGTGGCTCACACCTGTAATCCCAGAACTTTGGGAGGCTGAGGTTGGAGGATCACTTGAGGCCAGGAATTCAAGACAGTCTGAGCAACGTAGCAAGACCCCATCTCTACAAAAAATTTAAAAATTAGCCAAGCGTGGCAGTGTGTGCCTGTAGCCCCAGCTACTTGGGAGGCTGAGGCAGGAGGATCAGTTGAGTTCAGGAGTTTGAAGTTGCAGTGAGCTACGATGATGCTACTGTACTCTAGCTCAGGCAACAAAGTAAGACCTGTCTCAAAAAAAAAAAAATTTAAAAAATGTTATGTTTTGTCATAGTTTAAAAAAACAAAATGTCAGAATTCTCAGCATCAAGGGCCTGTTTATATGTCTTATACTTTAAACACTTAAATTTATTTTCCCCAAGTTCTCTTCTTCACACAAGGATGGAAAACCAGAGGAATAGAGGTGGAGTCTATGCAAAATTTGCACCCCCTGTGCATGAACCGTTTTTCCCTTCTGGCGGAAACCGCGCCTTAATCATCACTGGTTCTTGGTTGGTATGTATCCTTGGTGGCTCTGTCTGTGCCTTTGACTCAAACAAAAGAAATTCCTTTTGGACCAATCTTAGATGGTTTTGCATGTTAACTGCTAACCTCAGAATCTCTTAGCCTATAAAGTAAAGTATGACTTTCCAAGTTTGAGACTATTATGATATATGAAAGGAATTATACCAAATTGGTAAAAGTGGTTTTCCTGATTAAATTTCATTTTCTTCTTTGTAGATTTTTGCATTTCCTAAATTTTTGTTGTAAACATGTTTTATAATCAGAACATAACGTTTTGATTGTAAAAATCAGTTTATTTCTTGTAAATATATTTATACAATCCATGCTATAACCCCCAAATTATCCTTGACGTAATTTAAATCTTAGTTTTGCTGCTCTTGGTGTTAAAACTAAAACGACTGTCCTCCCTTCGTTCTCTGATTTCACAGAATGAAATTCTTCTAGAGAAAAAGACCAAGAAAAGTAAGATTCTGAATCTGAAGTTCCCGAGGACAGAAGAGGAGAGACGGATGCGGACCCAAAGCAAAAGAAGGCTGGAAGCTAAGAAAGAGCAGCGGCAGAAGAACTTCGTGGACCTGGCTTGCGAGTGCAGCGCCGTCATCTGCTGCCGCGTCACCCCCAAGCAGAAGGCCATGGTGGTGGACCTGGTCAAGAGGTACAAGAAAGCCATCACGCTGGCCATCGGAGACGGCGCCAATGACGTGAACATGATCAAAAGTGAGTTGTGCACAGACGGCCAGTGAGACCCAACCTGCTAGAGAGGAGAAATGGCAGGGACGTTTGCGGGGTGGTTTTTTCAGATTTCCTGATTCAGGTTTTCTTAAGGCAGATATTTAATAAAAGCACTTAACCATGGTGACTCTGCCTGTGACCCTTCCCCCAGGAAGCTCCCTGTTCACCGGGAGGAGAGGGCAGGCCTAACAGTGGTCCCCATAGGATGCCAAGTACAAGATGAAGTCCTTGTATGTGAATTTACCCTTATTTGTTTCCTCCTTTTACGTACATCTGGTATGTTTTTTTCCCATGGTTCTCCTCCCATATTTCTTTAGGGCTTATTAAAAACTCTGACACTTACTAAGTTTTGCCAAACGTTCTACTGAGCTCAGCTTAAATTGTTGTACTTTCTCTGATACTGCTTTCAGAATATCATTGTTCCTCACCTACGCATCTCTTTTTGGGGCTTTCTTCTTGCCTTTGGTAAATCTGTTGGAACTTCACCATTAGGTCACCTGGTGTGAGCTTTAGAGTAACATGTGTAGCATTCAAGTAAAGTTTCCATGTCTCACCGTTCATCCTCCTGACCACTCTGGAAGGCTGCCAAAAAGCTTTTGCGGGTCAGAGGACCCTAGGTCCCCACAATGAAAGGGTTGAGTTGTATCATGCAGAAATAGCTGGTATCGAAGCCTGCAGAAACAAACCTGGGGCCCTCATCTCTGTGTCTGAGTCCTGGTCCTTTTTCCTCCCTCTATTATTATAAGGGAGTATCTTGTAATGAAAATACCCAAACCAGTGAGACCTGAATATTTGTCCTCATCCTATTGCCAACACCCTGTGTCACCTTGGACTTATGCTCAGGCCTCAGTTTTCTTATCTGAAAATAAGAAAATCATGTCCAGTGTCACCTCCAGCTCTGTGATATCATGATTGTTAAGATGAAATATTACGTGACTGTATGTCGATGTCCTGTAGTGCTGGGTAGCTTGAATGCGTTATATACAACTAGACTTAATTCAGCCTATTGTGTGACTCATGAGTCCATCTCTTTCTTTTCTTAGAGTCTCCTCCTCCTCCTCCTCGATATATACTAAGAATATTCCAACTTTATCTTCCTCAACAGGAGTCAGCTGTATGACGTATGTCATCTTGCTTTCTTATTATCAGTGCGTATGTCTGTCGTCACTGCCAGTTTAATTCCTCCCCACTGTTTTTCGTGTGTGCTTGTCCTATCCTATGAATGGCATTTCTTGCTCTGAATTAGATTTCTCTTTCCTCTTTAGGCAGCTCTAGTTTATTATCTACTGTGTACCCTTAACAGAACAAGCTGTTTCAAAAGGGCAAGGATCTCAAACGTTATTTTTATTCAGTTATGATGTAGACTTCTAGATGTTAGGGGGAGGTGGTTTGCTTTGCAGATTTACCATCTGATTATGTGACTTAAACTTGAAACTTTTTGTTCCTCTGAGCTCACCAATTGATAGGGAGAGGGATTGTACAAAGTCGACATAGATAACTGTATAGAGGCTTGCTGTTCTTTAGTTGCTTTAAAATTTTTATTAAGCTCTGTTGTATGCCAGGTGCTTTTATATATAACTT